GTATAACACAGTGACTCTGGTTGACAAAACTGAGTTACGTAATTGAAACGAGCCAAGAGAGTAGAACTGAAATGTCCTCATCAAAATAAATAAATAAATACATGAGGTGATGGATGTGTTAATTAACTCGCTGGAGGCCATCCTTTCACAATGTAAATGTATATCAAACATTGTGTTGTACGCTTTAAATAACTTACAATTTTATTTCTCAATTATACCTCAATAAACCAGGAAAAAATTAAAACATAAAGTAGAGCCCTCCTCCCCTCCCCCATCTACTCTGTTAGAGTCCCTGTTTACGTTTCTTCACGTCCCTATCACAGGCTATGATTGTGAGATTTGTTTATTTTCTTCTTTCTGGTCTTTGTGCTCCGACTAAAATGTAAATTCCTAGTGGTCAAAGGCCTTTGTTCCTCTTGTTCAGGACGCTATCTCTGCATCTAGGGCTAAACTTCATATATTAGAACTCAAAAAGTAGTTCCTGAATCAACGAATAAATAGGAAAGGCTCTGGCCTGCGATTCAGGAGACCTGGCCTCTAGGCTGACATTACCATTGAGCGCTGTGTGACCCTAGACAAATCCCAACCTCTGTGGACCCAGTGACTCATCTACACTGGAGAGGAAGATTCCATGTATTGAGGTTAAGATGGCTGCCAAGTTTCGAGGCTTGACTCTTCCTTCCTTGTTTTCTCAAACAGTACTAAAACAACTAGTATTTAGGGCAACCTCAGAAAAAATATGGCTAGGTCTTGAGGTAGAATCAAGGGGTCAGGATGGTATAATAACAGAATTGAATCAGCTTCAGTGCATCCCCAACTCAGGTGCGGGGGCCCAGCCTCCACCCACAATGCCCAGCAGCCACCGTCCTGCCATGTAGGAGATGCTCTCCAAGACTGCTGACCACCACCACCCTCTTCCACATCCTCCCCAGGGTTAGGGCGAGGAAACTATGACCTGAGGACACGGGAACAGAACAGAAAAAAGCATCATTTCTAGAAGGACCCCTTGTGGGAAGGCCCAGTGTCTGTTGAGTTCACAGTGAAGGCTTCATGACAGAGAAGACACTGCTAGCCTGAGAGGGCGGTGGGGAGAGCAGTTCAGTGTAAGAAGGAGGGGAGGCCAGAGAGGGGGAGAGCGATCACGCCACTCTTGAGGCTCAGCCATGTGCCCTGCCAAGCGGTGCATTCACCGCCCAGTGTCAGATTCTGGAAGCTTTTCAGAGCATTCTTCACAGGCCTGGGCTCTGGAGGAGGGAGGGCTGTCACTGACAGTTTGTTATTCACTTTGTGAATATTCTCACCTTTTGAAATGAAGCGGGATTGAGTGGGGTGAGTGTGACCACATGCTGGCAAGACAAGTATATCAATCACCAAACTGAAAAAAGGGAGCCACTGCACAGCACAAGCAGGGAGTTTGGTGGAGGTGCGGAGCTCTGGCAGAAAGTTGCTGATGGAAAAGGAGGCTGGGCTTGGATTTGCAGTAAGAGGTCAGAGAAGATGGAACTGAGCAAAGACCTTTGAACTAATAGGATGAACATGGCAAGTTGTTAACTGGTTAAGAAACAAAAGTTCAGGACTTTGGAGAGAAGGACAGGAGCCTCAGTGTGGACTACTGAGTTTTGGAAGTGACAGGAAAGAGGGAAGGAAATAGCGAGAGAGAAAACCAGCCGGGGATAAAGAAAGACTGTTTGGGTTTGTTTGGAGGCTTTGTTGGGTTTTTTGAAGGGTGAGGATGAAGGTGACTGAGGGAGTTAGGACAGGAGAGACCTAAGTCTGTTTGTAATTATTAGGAGACATGGCGAAGGAGAGAGAGGCAGGCAAAACAGCATGGCGGGCAGAGGAGCTGTGCCAAAAGACTATCTACGAGATGAAGTTGTGGAGTTTATTCACCTCTATTAGTTTTATTACTGTACTTGGGGTATAATAGACATGTAACAAAGTGCAGACAATTTAATACAACTGGATGCATTTTGACATATGTATACACCAGTGGAAGCCCCACCACAATCAATATAGTGAACGTGCTGTGTCCTCAAGCCCTGTTGGAAGGCCTTCCTTCTGCCCCTCCCATCCCACCGATCTGCTTCTTGTTTCTATGACTTAGTTTGCATTTTCTAGAATTTCATATGAATACAACCATACACGAAGTGCTCTTTTTTGTCTGGCTTCTTCCACTCAGCATAATTATTTTGAGATTCATCGATGTTGTTGAATGTACTCATTCCTGTTTATTGCAAAGTGGTTGTATGAGTTTCCCGTGGCCACTGTAACAAATGACCACAACCCGGGTGGCCTAAACCACAGAAATTTATTTTCACACAGTTCTGGAGGCCAAAGGTCTCAAATCAAGGGCAGATAAGGTTGGTTCACTCTGGAGCCTCCAAGGGAGCATCTGTTCCATGCCTCTCTCCTGGCTTCTACCAGTTACCAGCACCTCTTGGCTCGTCGATACATCCCTCCATCTATGTCACAGAAATGGGCAATAAATAAAGAAGCCAAAAAGTGAGACTGACAGATGGAGGTAAAGAGATGAGAGTGTAAGAAGAAGACTTGGAATAAACTGGAAGGTGTTAAGGGGAAGTGTGGAGAACTTTCCGCCTCAGCCTCTCACTCAACAGTTTTCAGTTGTTCGTTTGGCAATTTACTCCAACGTGGATTTAAGGTTTACAAGAAAAAGTATTTTCCCTGTCTCGGCATGCTTTGCTCTGAACTGAAGAGGCCCAACCTGCTCCAGGGAGTTAGATTGAGAAGCAGTTACGCCCTGGCTGAGCACAAGATGGCGCCCTTTCTGGAGCAGCGGGACCTCCCTGGGAAGGTCTTCTTTATTGCAAATGAAACTGAGCACAACCTGCTTAACATTTCCTTCCTTTTCTAGAGCTCAGATGAAGTCTACTGTCTCACTCATCTGCGGTGTTTTGAAGCCATACTTTTCAAGAGGACCGTGAGTAGCTGGACACTCTGCTTCTCACCTCCCGTTTCTCCTCAGGCCCCTCTAGTCAAGCTCTGTCCCACCGCTCCACCGCAACTGCTGTCACCAAGGGCAGCAGCAGCAGTTACCAAATTCAAGGATCACTCTTCTGTCCTCATGCTCCTCTCCTTCCTGATGCTGCACTTTCCCGTCTCTCCCGACTTTCCTGACGCCTCCTCCTCAGCTTCCTTGTCTGGCTCCCTCTCCACTTTCCTTCTCCTCTCCAACTGCTTTCTCGTCCTATGTGATCTCCTCAGTGTGACACTATCATCAGAAGTCTGCCTTCCAATGCTGCTTCTGTCTCGCTCTCTTGGATCACTTGCTCTGGGGAGGTTCGCTGCTCTGTCATGAGAACACTCAAGCAGCCCTGTGATGAAGCAGATGTGACAAGGCACTGAGACCTATTGCCAACAGCCAGAGTGGAACTGAGGCCTCTGCCAACAGCCAAGTGAGTGAGCCGTCCTGGAGGTGGACCCTATGCCAAGTCAAGCTTTGAGATGACTGCAGCCCCTGCTGATGGCTCGACTGCAACCCTCTGAGAGATTCTGACCCAGAACCACCCAGCTCAGTTGCTCCTAGATGCCTGGCCCTCAGAAACTGCATAAGCTGAAAGATGTTGGAGGCAAGATGAATCAAATTCAGCACCGATTAAAGTTGTGCTGACTCCTGGCTGCTTCGTCCAAGCAGCTCTGGTTGGCAGAATGTTTCTAATACATATCTGCTCTTCAAGAGCATTCTCGATAACTGACAAGTAATGGCTCAAATCGTTACCAAATTCCCCCAGTTCAGAGGAATTAATATCTACTTTCAATTCAGTTTTATATACATGTATAAATCTCCCCATGAAAATGATGGATGGTGTAAGGATTCAATACCAAATGGAAATAATTTTGGCACAAAATATTTATGTGGTTATGTCACAGATTACCCAGGAGCAATATTAAAAGTATTTAACATCTGGTACAGCAAATATAAATTAATACATAAATAAGTATATATCTCAAAAATTAAAATACATTTGCCTTTGTTTTGTAACTAAACTATGTGTAGCATAAAAAGGGATAAAGCTGTAATGCAAACCGGTCACAAGTCATTGTGACAATTTCCAGTCATTTGTTATTTTTATAAACTGTCCGTGTGTTCTGGGCTGTTTGAGTTGGCCGTGGGTACCTTCTTGTATGAAGGCCATCAGCTCTGTTGGGGTGGCCCTTTCCTGCACCTATGACTCTCAGTGCATTCCCCAGTCCCGCTACTGCTTTCTGCCCTTGTCCTGTTGAGAGTTGGGAGCTAGAGGCCTCCCACGGTGGCTCGCCCCAGGGTGCTTCCCCATGTTCTGGGTGCCTTAACACTATTCCCAGCTTTGCACACAGGCATTTCCTTACACTCTCCTCACGACACTTTCTGAGTAATGGTGATACCTTCTTCTTGTATTCACAGCAGCAGCCACAATGAGGGAAATCTTACAAGACTCACTTCAGAATAATAAAAGGGGATTATGAATATTTGTTATAAACTGGGATGAGGTTAAGAACTTCTGTTCCAGAGCAGGGATATGAGAGTATATTGTTGGAGGGATGTATAAAAATGGTGTGCCCTCCTCATCCATCCCTTGAGGAGTGTAGAACTGGAGAGAGAGCAGGTAAACTCGTACAGGGAACTGGGAACGTCCTGGGAGGACAGCTCGGCACATCTTGGTTGGGCTGAGTTGAACCAACACTGCATGGACATAAAGAACACAAACCATGTGTCCCACATCTCCGTCTGCCCCACCCCACCCAGCTATGGGGATGTTCAAGCTATGAAAATGGGCAGTCAGGACTAGGATCCTGGGCTCTGTCTCATAGATTCTGGATTTCCTGGTGGAGCCCCAATTATGGGCTCAGTATGTGGCTGGAGCTAGAAATGACTCTCTCCCAGGTGCTCCTGCACAGTGACACGCCAGGGAGAAATGAATAGATATCTCAGGCTGCAGTTTAGATCGCAGGCCTGAGTGACAGGAGGGAGGGAGCCCTCCTCTTCCATCCCTCTGCCGCTACAGGGCATGAGGATGCTGCTGCGCAAGTGGGCTAATGGTGGCCAGGCTTTCCACCGAATCCGCCCAGGTCAGAAGGTCGATGGGACACAGGAGCTCCAGGTGGCAGAAAGGGCAGCAAAGACCAGGGATGGCAGCAGAGGACGGGGATTTTCCATCAGTCTCAGGGCTAAGTGATCCCTTGAATGGAGTCAGCCCCCGGTTGTTGGATTTAACATGTGAAGGAGACTCCTGGGAGAAGAATCTTCTTGCTCCTCTCAGATGGATGCTTGAGTGACTTAAAATGAATATTTAAGAGATGTGATTTTATCCTGTTGTATATCAGGCTGGTAAAGCAGGTGTATGGCTACACTTCAGTGGCTTCCTATTTTCCTTAGGACAGAATCCACACTCCTTGCCATGGTCTTCAATGTCCTGAGGACTCTGGGCCCTGTTCTCTGACCTCACTGCCTCGGTGCTCGGCCCTACCTTATGGCTCAATTCTCCACTCAGACCCACTGACTCCTCTTTCCTCAAACACACCACATTCAGTCTCTCTCTCTAGGCCATCGACCCTGCTGACCTCCTGCCTGGATTCCATCCCTGCTGCCCCATCAAGGTTCCACCCACTTCCCTACCTGCCAGTTGTGTTCCTTCAGGGCTCACAGCAGCCCTGACTCCCCTCCTTGAGAAACTGTGACTGAACCACAAATTCCAGCAAAAGCATCCTGGTTAGGGTTATACCTAGCACTATCTCATCCCCTCGCATGGTGCTGTAGGTTAACTTGCCTCTCCTAAAAAAGAAGATATGCTTAAGTGCTGACCCTTGGTACCAATGACTGTGACTTTATTTGCAAATAGGGTCTTTCCAGATGTCGTCAAGGTAAGATGAGGTCATACTGTACCAGGGTGGGCCCAAACCCAATTACCGGTATCTTTATAAGAAGAAGGAACTTTGGGTAGAGACACACACACGGGAAGCACGCCATGTGACAACGGAGGCAGAGATTGGACTTATGCATCTATAAGCCAAGAAATGCCAAGGCTTGCCAGCAAGGATGAGGACCCAGGAAGAGGTAAGGATGGATCCTTCCCTGAGGCTTCAGAGAGAGCGTGGCCCTGCTCAAGCTTGAGTTCACACCAAGAGCCCCCAGAAAGGCAAGAAAATCAATTTCTAGTATTTTAAGCCACTAAATTTGTGGTCATTTGTTACAGCAACCCTAGGAAATTGATGAACAAGGTACGCATGATTTTGGATTAGGATGTCGTATTTTTTTCTTTCTTTCACTAGAGTGAACCCCATGAGGACAGAGACTCTATCTGTTTTGCTTGTCATCATTTCTCCGGCTCCTGGGACACTGTATATCACATATTAGATGTAAAGAAATATTAGTTCCATAATTGAACACAAAAAAAATGTTGATTATGTGACGAAAAGTGGTTTTCCGAAAATAAAAAGAGAGAAAAAAGTTTTTAGGTTGTGGGTCATAAAAACAGCAAGTACTAAAGGAAAAGACAAGTTTTGTGGAACTGAGAATGTAGATGAGAATTTCTGCTTCACTGTTTTTGACGAGGTATATCATGGCTGTTATATGACAATTTTTTTATTAGATCCAAGAGTCCATGAAACTTTTTCTCGTTATATTTACTTTTAAGCCCAGGAAACATCCTAGCAGGAAATAATAATTTCATATTTGATCAAAACAAATAGATTGCTTTGCAACTAAATCAACATAATGGATTTTTTTTAAATTAGCATTTAAACAATGGATTAGTTAATTAGTCTCACAATAGTCAGGGTCTACATGTAGATCAAGAGTGCCACTGTTGGAAAACTTCAGAAGATCAGTCCTTCCTGTGCTGGGGGCCTGGGCTCTTTGTTTTACATGGAAAATCTTCATTCCTTTTTCATAACATTTCTTATCCATTGGAGGCTTCCTCGGGCTGCCAGGCTGCAGAAACTTCTTCACGGTGGGGAGGTTGCTGATTCTGGCTTTCAGGGCCTGCAAGGCACAAGAGCACAACCTCAGAGTGGAGCCAAAGACCAAACTCGTCAGCACAAGCCAGGAAACCAGAGACCCTCCTAGACGAGGACCACCTGAGTCTCCTCCATCGGCACCAGCCTGAGGCTGGGAACAGACACCCCGTGAGCCATGAGGATAAGAGAAGAAAATCCAGCTCAAGTGCATTTTCTTCCCTGTCTTCTTCCACACACACTAATCCTGTGGATTCATGGCTCTTTGCAACACAAGGAAGAGTAATGTGTCTGTGCAACATCAGCACACATAAAGTCTCCAGTGAGGAAAGGCAAAGATACAGGAAAAGTGGGCAGGACCTGAAGACAGGAAATATAAAAGGTAAACCATGAGGCCAGTCAAAACCAATTTGCCCATCGACAGAGAGACACGGGGAGAGAGGGCAGACTGTGTGGAGAGAAACACAATGTGTGGAAGGAGGAGCAGGAGCCGAGGGGAGGACAGCTGCTCACAGACTCAGGTGTGGAAGGAGAAGGACACTCCTGGGTCGAGGGAATCACAGAGAAAAGAGGACAGAATCCGGAATGGAACGGAGGCCTGGGAGAGACGTGCTGATGCTGGGTACCTCTCATTGTAAAGACAAATTATTCTTCTTGGGGCATAATCCACTCAAGTTTCCTCAGCATAAGGAGATTCTTCTCATACCTCAGACCAGTGCCTAGGAGCTAATTTGGAGACCAGAGGGCAGCAAAGGTCTAGACAATAATGGGGGAACAAGAGGCCAAATCTTAGATTCCTTCCATCCTGAGGGCTGTGAAAGGGATCACCTTCAGCAGAGGAAAGTTGGCCAGAAGGTTGGGGTCAAGCTCTTCAACAAGGTAGATAAGTTCAACCAGGTGAATGTCAGCCCTGCTCAGCCTGTTGCCAACCAGGTAGTCTTGTCCGTGGCTCTTTAACACCTGGCGAATTGGAGGAATCGGATCATGAACACAGGCACAGGCAGGCTGGGCCCCCTGCTCCTCCCAGCTCTCTCCAGCCCGCTCTCCCTCCTCTGCTGCCTCACTGGGCGGATGTGGAGCTTCACACCTTCTCCACCGGCCCTGAATCACAGAAACAGACGGAGGAGTGGGGCTCTTCTGTTCTTCCCTCACTCCTTAGTGAAGCCCAGGTTACCATTTCTTTTCCCCTTCCCATATCACTTGGGCTCCCTACTAGCATCTTCCACTGGGCCAAGGGCTTAGCACCTCTGTGCCATGTTTCTCACTGCCCCACACCCTACACTGTGCAGCCCTGAAACTTCAGGACATGGCTCTTCGTCTGTCTCTCTCTGTTTCTCTCTCTCTCCACACTTTTCTTTCTCCTCTCTCCCTTGGGCAAAGACTCCACCTTTATGACAGCCTTCCTCAGTCCTGAGCAGACTATTTCAGAGTCTACGTTTCTCTTCTCGTCTGCTCTCCTCATTTCCTGGTCTGTCTCTCTGGGACCTGAAATAACCCCGGGTCACCTTGAACTCACCCTCCCCTTACAATAATGGCTCTGACTCCTACCAAACCTGTGTCTGTCAATAACATTCGTGGAATATGTTCTAATTTGCCTGCTGAAGTGTCTAGGCATGACTGTGCTGATGTCTGTACTTGCTTTAAGATGCAGCAAAAAATAACATTCTTGATTGGAAGAGAGAAGGATGGGGACATATATGATTAAGCAAATATCATAATAATAGGTTAATTTTTGAATATGCACGATGGGTAATATGAGTTCATTGTACATGTATTTCAAGGTTTAATAAACTTTGAATTTTCCATAAATATATTGCAGGAAATATTTGATGTCCATTAAAAATATTGCAGACATGTAATCTATCATAACATTAATAAAAAAAAAATATTGCAGACATATGAAAATGACAGAGAAAAAACATGGCACCACCAACTAAAGATCATAACATTGTGGCAAATACCCTTTGAGGCAACATATGTTTACAGAAGTATGGATACAAAATGAAGAATATATTGATGTATCAAATACCATATTGTAATGTGCATATTGTAATGTGCAATGTAACTTATGTCATCACAGGGCTCTTTGATCTCAGAGGACAGATGTCCTCCAACTGCAGTGGCTGAGGAGCTTGTCACCATGTGAACGTGCTAAACTCTCAGCACCACAAGGGCCGGGAGAGCGGATTTTCTGATTACTATTAAATTCCTCACTCCTTGAACAGGATCTGACACAGTAGCAATGAATGCACATTTGCTGAACGAATGAAAGAATGATTTGATGCTTTATTTGTATGTAAGCCTCCTGTATCTCTTACGATCATTTTTTGGTTTCATATTTTTATTTAGCATGATACCAGATAGATTTGATCTTGAAATGTTCTGCTTTACCTTCAAAGAGAAACATTAGGGAAGGTAGGTGCTATGTGTCATGATGGAAATTTATTTCCTTAGTTTGCATGACTTTCCTCAAAAATTGAAGAGCCGTGTTCCCCCAAATTGTAGATTATTTTCCCTTCATATCATTTCATCTGTCGCTTCCTCTCCATCCCTGAGCCCCCATCTCTGCTTAGATACATATCATCCATTCAGGCATTCCCTGAAACTCTACAACATTCTCCTGATGGACAGCTAGTCCCATGTCACCCTTCATAATTTGCCAGAATAGTGTCTGGTGTCTTGCTTTCATTGCGTTCCTCCTGGAGCAAAAGCCCCTGTCTGGTGTTAGCAGGATCTGCTCCCGTCTCTAGGGGGCTCCCAGAGCCTTCCACAGCCCCAGCCTCATGACCATGAAATTCCAGTGAATACAAAATGCTAGATTGGGCCCTAGTAAATTAAAGTTTTGGTGAAAAATTATAACTTGGGTGAAAATGGCACAATTCTTCCTCACATTGGATTTTATAAAATGCCTTGAGTGTCAGAATTCTCCATTAACTAGGATTCAGGAAGGCTGACTGGGAGTGAAGGTCCTTGTCCCAGGAATGCCCAGTTCTCTTTTCCTTTCTCCTCTAATCTCAGCGCCCCCAACACACTAAACAGCCAACTCACTTTTTCAAATGCGGGGAAATAACGATTTGTTGTGCTCCCTTTGATCTGGGTAATCTTGGGACCTTACTCATCAGGTGGGATTGAGAGCAATATCACAAACACTTCATTGAAATCTGCCATACCTTCTACGTACATATCAATCCTGAAAGATAAAAGTGACCAAATTGTCAAAGGTCTCTTGCCTTAGGTTTTATAGTTGAAAAATGGAAAAGAATGGAGCATCAGGATGTGGCAAAGGAATTCGCCTCCATTGGGTGCATTTTTATAGGCCATTTATTCCCCTATGAATTTTTCTTGATTTTCACGTTTCATTCTGGAACAAGCTCTTGAGATAGATGTATGTCTAAAATTTTGTTATACACATGACCAAACATAAGGACAGAGCATCGGTGACCTGCCCCAAGTTGCCGGCATGAGAGACATTGGTGGAAACACTGCAAGTAACCTCTGAGACCGTAGCTAGGGTTTGCCAGCTCTGCTGGGTTTGTTCTGTGCACAAACTCAGTGTGATTCACACGGCCAAAGACCTGCCACCTAAGTCACCTCCACAGGGAGTCCCTGGCACAGCTGTCTCAGCCATGTCCCTCTCTTTCTCATCCTGTTGCACCACCCAGGCTCACATAATGTCCAATATTAGCATCTTTCAATGATTTTCCATGAAATGAAAAATCATGTGGAACATGGTTCCAAGCCCTTTCCATGTACTCTTGTCCAACGCTGACCATGTTTGCATTTCTCGAGGCCAAACCTAAAGTGTCCCCTGAAACTGGGTAATTGTTTATACACTTCCCAACAGTGCATATGCCAGGTTTCTTGTGTGTGTTCCAGATCAGGTTTCCTATCACAGTTTTTTAAAAACAAAACTTTTCTTGATCTATAATTCTGCTGCCACAATGTCATCTTTTTCAAGTGTACAATTTTGTGATAATTTTTAGTAAATTCACAGAACTTTGTACCATCACCATGCTCTGATAACAAAATATTTTCATCCCTTCAAAATGAACTTCCATGTGGGTCAGCATTCATTCTACATTCTTCCCTCCTTCCCTCTGGCCCCAGGCAACCACTCAACTACTTTCTGTTTCTATGGATAGGAATGTTCCAGACATTTTGTAATACAGAATTATACAATAAGTGCCATTCGTGTCTGGTTTCTTTATGTAACCTAATGTTATCAAAGTTCATCCACATTGTAGCCTGCGTCAGAGCTTCATTCCTTCCCATGGACAGATAACATTCCACTGCATGGCTGTACCACACTCGGCTCATCCAGTCATCACTTTGGGGACCTTTATACTGTTTCCATTTTTTGAAGACTATAAACAACACTTATGAACAATTGTGTGCAAGTTTTACTGTTGATATAATTTCAGTTCTCTTGTGTACATACCTCGTAGTGGAATCGCTGAGTCATATGGTAACTCTATGTTTAACCTTTGAATAACTGTCCCAGTTCTGCACATGGTTTTAATTTTAATCACGTGGCGCCATCACAACAGGGAGGAGTTGCCCCGTTAGAGTCTTATTGAAATAATCTGCTGCTTCAATCTTGTATCAAAGTGCTCGATGCAACCCTGGCATCTTGGGCTCATCATCTGCTAACCCTTATCATATGGCCCGTCCATATCCCTGGGTGAAAGTTAGGTCATGGTCATCATTCTGCTAAATTCTGGAAGATGAGCATTAGCTTCTTTGGATTCTTCCCTTCCCCAGCCTTATTGTCTAGATCCTCAGACACTTTGTGCATCCTCTCTGGCTGTGGCTGGTGTCCAGCTCGTAAAGGCCTGAACACCTGGAGTCATGACTCCACCATCCTCCTGCCTTCTTAATTCATCAGGGTTTGCAGACCTCTGTCAGTGTGCCCTCTCCGTGGGCCGCATCCTCTTCTATCATCCCACTGGCTTGAGTCCACTGCAGGTTTCCTGTCCCTCATCCTCTGAGGTCTCGCTGTACTGCACCTCAGTCTACACCACCGAGGCCACACTGCTGGTGGTCATGATCCCCCGACATGATCTTGGTCCTTCAGGGAAGGGCCTAAATTGTTCCTATTAATTGTTGATGAAAGAGCAGGGAAAATACCGCACAGGGCTCTCTCCTTGATGTCTTTCCCATAGAGGTTGTGTTTGGCGGCGATGTAGTTGAGAATGGCTCTGCTCTGCACCAGCTCCATCCCATCAATTTCCACCACTGGCACCTGCTGGAACATCAAACTGCCATCTCCTGAAAGAAGAAAAGGAAAAGGAAAGCAAAATGTTTTATGGATCATAACGTTGGGATGAAAAGCTGTTCAAATGACTGAAAATATATAAAGAAACAAGAAATTATTCCCTGGGAACATTTCCAAGGAAATAGCATTTTGTTTTTGCATCCTGTGATAACTTTTTCTTATAACTCTGCCTTTTGCTTTTTAACCTAGTATTTCATTTATCTTTTTATTTCCCATCCAGATATATGGTAAGTCCCTGTATTTTTTTTTATTGAATTCTCGTCATGGATATTTGAGGAAGAAGTTGGGAGAAGCTGCAACAGGACCACCAGCCGTTTGCCATTTCAGTTGGGAAGTTCCGAGAACAAGTCTACGGTGCTGCCGGCATTAGGCCAGTAGTAAGGGAGATTTCTACGGAGGGTGATTTGTATGCTCTTCAAATTCCACCATTGGATAGTGTGTGGTGGGGGGGCCCAGTTTTCCCCAACCAGTTCTCCTGGTCTTGCTCTTTCTCTCCCTTCTCACTGACTTACCTGGTGTTCCAACTATCTCAACACCATCTTGATATCTTGATACCATCTTGATATTTGAGTTTATAACACTGCTAGTTCATCACTGTGTCCAACCCGTCAGAGAGAATAACTCAAGGCAACCACTGGGCCTGTTTCTCCTCTTTCATGCTCTTAAATGTGTTTGATGTCCTTGCTAGGAGGCTGTGGGATCCTGAGCTGGTACAGCTCAGTCGTGGTGCAGAAAAGCAGGAGAAAGCAAAGAGAGGGATCCACAGGACACCAGGGATGGCCCTGTAGCAAATACTCAGAGAGTTTCATCCCTTCCTGGTCCTGAGGGAGTTACCAAAGCTGCTCAGGGAGCCCCACCCCATACATTTGAAACACTTCTCTCCCTCTTCTTGGCACCCAGCTCCCAGCGTACACACACATAGGCATTGCCTGCAGTTAAATCCTCAACACATAACTTCAACTAGATCCTCTCATCAGAGGAACTTAGGTACTTGGTCTCACCATTTTTCAGCTTTTCCAAGTCCTCTGGAGTGTCTATAAATTTCTCTTCAAACTGGAAAGCAGAAACAGTCAGTGAGTTCCTGTTCTTTCATTCCACAGCATAATAAAAGTTTTAAACTTGAATGGCCCCTCTCTGGCACATAATAAGCAGAAAGGAGATTTCTGAGCTCGGCAGGGCACACAGGGGAGTGTGATCAGGGAAACTGGAAATTTAGATTAGAGCCACCAAGGAAAGAGCACGGGTGGCAGCAGGTAACGGCTCATTCTTGCAGTTTCAATTCTCCTCCACTCTGTTTCCACCTCTGTGGATGATCCTGGTCATTGAGGAGAGGGATGTCACGGAGGGAGGGGACTGGGAAGTTCCTCTAGTTATGGGCTTTTAGTATCTCAGGAAAGACTCCCTCTGCACTAGAGATCAGGACAGGACCTTTTATGTCCCCCAGCATAGGGTACACCAGGGGACAGTGATTATCTTAGATGCTGCCACCAGTGACTTCTGCTGTCATTGACATCGCTGCATCCCGGGAGGCTCCGCTTAGTACAAAATGAGTCCTGGTTGCTGCACAGCTTTACCTCTAAGATTCAGAATTTCCTCTCCTGGAAAACTGGGACAGCCTAGGTTAGATTCCCAATTGAAGAAAGGAGAAAGAGTTCCCAAACTAGTTGAAAATATTGTTTTTTAATCAAGAAACCTTGGTTTCTGATATGACTGCCTGGATTTGAACATCATTTCTTACATGTGCTGCCTCTTGACGTTGGACACGTCACTGAATCTCCTCATGTCTCAGTATCCTCATCTATATAATGAGTATAGTTATGGTGCCTACGTTATAGGTTGGTGTGAAGGTTAAATCAGCAAGGTATGCAAAGGCGTTTAAACAGCACCATGTATACACTAGATGCTCAACAAACATAAGTTATCAGGATTTTCAAAGATGGTTGCTGTTTCAACTTACCATCCTTTTTTTTCAAATGTAAAACCACCTTACACTGGGGAACCTATGCTCCATCCTTGACCTACATTCAGGACGTAGACCTTGGTGTAGATTCTCCTTCTCTCTGGTTGGAGGGCAGCCGGCAGCAAGGCCGTCATCTGACCAGAGGCTCTGAGTGCTTGTGGGGTTTCAACACAAATATGAGAATCAGTAACTATATGATCATGCGGTTTACTTAATCGGCAGAATCGATCAAATCTAAAGTCAGAAGAGACCGACGCCAAGAAAATGGGTCTCAGCGTTGATGCGATTTGGTTCCAGTCTTGCGTCTGCCTCATGGTAGCTGTGTGATCGGGGCACAGGCACTTAGCATCTCCAGGCCTCAGTTTCCTCCTCTATCAAATGCAGGGAGGACATTTTCTTAAAAGTAATATGTTGTGTTAAAATACAGATTACAGGACCCGGGCCACACACACCAAGTATAACTAGTAGTGCTGTTTGCAGTGGCTGCTATGGTTTAAAGGGTTCTTCATGGTGAAAAGCTTGGGAATCTGGGGAATTCTAACTTGTCCAGTGGAAGCATTTATTGTAGATCCACATGGCTCCACAGGGTCAGACTCTAGAGATAGTGAGGTGGGGGCGCAGCAACTCCTAAAGCACCCAGTTCCACACAAACATAAGGGATGGTGGCTGGTCATCAAGGGAGGGCGGTCGAGGTGGGATGGGTTGGCTGGTGAGATGGTGTTTGTGAGGCTAATGGAGACGGATGGGATGGTGAGGACCAGCCTTTGGGCACAGAGAACCCAGAAGCCCTGACCAAGAGTCTTTGGTAAGTCCTGCCCCATCCCCTCTTCAGTCAAGCTGATGGAGAAGAGGCAGCCTGGGATGCGCTCAGCATCTCCCCTACTTCACCCTCCTGTGCTGAACTCATCCTGCCTAGGGGCTCTCAACACATCCCTCAACCCCACAGCTGATGCTGAGCTACAGGGAAAACAGGTTATTGATTTATAGAGAGACAACGACCTGAAAGGGCACTATTTGGATCTATTTGGATGTTTTGTTTTCTTCTTTCTTTATGAAATCGAGAGAGGACCAGCTAAAGTCCCATGCATCTGTGAAGCAATCAAGAAAGTATAATCCCAAGGCTTCAGTAAACATGTTGTTATGAGGCTGAAGGGAGCACAGTAGAAGCTCCTGTCACAGGACACGACCTCACCTGGAACCCTTCTCTTCTGCTCTCACCGGAGGGACAAGATGTCCTGAGTCTGTCCATGACTCCTCTCCAGGAAAACCCTCTCAAAGTTGCTGATCCATCTGACCTGGATTGCGAAGAGTGTTCTCAGTGCCACCTCTAGAGGGCAGCACTCAGCAGAGTCCCAGAGAAACCTGCCACCTTTCCTCTGGGACTATGGCATTTCAACACCGTAAATGCTTGAGTGTCCTCCTAGATGCTACCCCCTCCTCCTCCTTTTAATCACCTCCTTACTTGTGTGCAACCTCATAGAATATAAGCTGCCTCAGGACAGGGCCGGTGTCTGTCTTGTTCATCCATATATCCCCAGGACCTAGCACAGGAGCTGGCACTTAAAGGTGCTTGACAAACTCACTGCTGAGTGAATGTATCGCATCTTTCACAGGAGGTTTCTTGCAATCCTCTCCTCCTCCCCACATTTGTGGTTATGTCTGAACTTTAATCATATTATAGTCCGATATTATATAGTTTTGTCCTTTTATTATGGAAATTTCCCACAAGTACCAAAATAAATATAAAAGTACGAAGCTCCTCCTTGTACCATTCACCCAGCTTCAATAATTATCAACTCAAGCCAGTGTTGTGTCATCTATGTGCCCACCACACTCTGTCTCCTGTAATAATTTGAAACAAATCAGAAATATCATATTTGTCCTCTTTAAATACGTCATGTGTATCACTAAAACATTAGAATTATTTTAAAAATAACCACAGTACACTATCACACCTAAAACTTTAACAATAACTCTTTAATTTTGTCTAAGATGCCATAATGTTCATGTTTCTAATTACTGCATAAATGACATAAATGATATTTTACACTTTGTTTAAATCCAAATCCAAATAAGGTCCACACATTGTGGTCGGTTTCTTAACTTTATTTTAATTGTTTGTGCTCTTTGGTGATAAGAAATTTTGATGATGTATTAGGTCATTAATGATCATCTCTGAAGAATAGAATTTTTTTTTAATGGAAAACTCTTGACAGATCACTGAGTAAGAATAGTCTCCTAGCTCATGTGAGAAAGGACTTTGATAATCTTAGATGCGACTTAAAATGACCAAACTCAGAAGGGACCTTGACTCGGGCGGCAGCCAGGAGCCACATGATCAGCTCCATCCGGCCTCGTGCGTTGAAGTAGTGCAGCCTGGGCTTCCCCACCATGATGCTGTCTCCTGGGTTCTCTACACCTGAATGAACGAAGGAAACAACAGAAACAAAACTGCACTTTAAGATCCGTGGTTAGCAGCACCAACAATGCTGAGGAAGGGTCTGCCTCCTTCCTGGCCGACTTGGAGAGTCCCTGGAATGCCTTCCTTGGCCCAAGTTCTCACCCTCAGGAGCCGAGTTCAGGAAACTGCATCAAACCATTCTCCAGTATCCACTGGGTAAAATTTGGTGGGCTTAGCAGCCTAATAGGTGTCTGTATTAAATATGTGAGCGTGTTTTAGGGGGAGGGAGAAGGATTAGAGAACTAATATTTATTGAACGTCTCCTCTTAACAATCCTGACCAAACGCTAACCCCTTTGTATAAATTATACATATATATATATTTTTTTTTGCTGAGGAAGATTTACCATGAGCTTACACCTGTTGCCAATCCTCGGCTTTTTTAACCTTGATGAAGATTTCCCCTGCACAAACATCTGTGCCAATCTTCTGATATTTTGTATGTGGGTGCCCACCACAGCATGGCTGAGGAGTGGTGCAAACCTGCGAACCCAGACTGCTGAAGCAGAGCCTGCCAAACTTAACTACTATGCCATGGGGTCAGATCCTGGCTACATTATAACTTTAAGCTCCTAACAGCCCCATGAAATGGTTATTATTATCCCCATTTTTCAGTTAATGGGACCAAGGCTCAGAGGTTAAATGACACATCCACAGTCACACTCCAGCAGGTGAGGAATGTGGAAATCCATCCCAGGACTAAAGGGTGGGCAGGGCTGGAACCCACACAGACGCAGGCCCCGGGAGCCTGTGAGGACCTTGAACCAGAGGACTTCCCTGACAGCGAGGAGGCAGAGGGAGCAGAGTTAATGCAACATATGTTCCAGAGCTGGAATTAGGGCTCAGAGTCGCTGAACTGTAGCTCAAAAGATCCTAATCCTTTGCACAGACGCAGGATGCTGATTTCTTGCTTTTTATGGAATTCTACATTCTACATCTACCTAGTGCACTTTATAATCTATAAAAAGGGAAGTTACTGCATTAACTTTTCAATATGTGGAATGGAACCAACATTTGTTCACTGTCTGTCATACAGTGGATGCTCGCTAATTTGCCTTCATTTAATCCTACAAAAATCACCTGAGGTGGAATCTCTTATTACTCTCACTTCACAGCTGGTGAGATGGAGGTTTCTAGAGTAACTTGCCCAAGGTAGGTGGTGGTCCTGGGATTCAAACCCACTTCTACGTGAAACCAAAGACTAGGACTCATTTTCTGTATTGGGATTTTTCAAAATACGCGTGACCATCCTTCAGTGGATCGTGAAATTCACTAACTCTTAAAACGAAATACGAGACTGTAGACACTATCCAAGTGCACTATATGGAGACAAGTGGAGCATCATTTCAAGAGTGTTAGCTCCAGTCATAAGTGTGTTGCATGCGTGGATGTGTGCACACTCATTTGGCCAACAGATGGTAAGAGAGACACAGGTTGTGTCCAGTCAGCAAACTCTGAAAGCCCTTGTTCCATCCCAGGCTGCGTGGGTAGGCGACACAGCAGGGGACCAGAGACTGAAGCTCAGCGGCTCCAACAGCGGACATGGCTGGTTCTCTCATGGGAGTGAATGCAAGTGAAACTGGCAAACAGTTAGCCATTGATGATGAAGTAGCTAGGAACTAAAGGTTTTTCCTTTTCGCAATTGCTGATTCTAGCTTTCAGCTGTTTAACCTGCCCATTGTTAACTACGCTGCTTAGGCCTTATGCTATCTGACTCCCACTAGGCTCCTATAGATACCATCTTCCTGGGGCCTGGGTCACCATGGTGATTGGCATTTGAGCTATTTTTCAGGATTTAGAACCCTTTTTCCACTCCAGGCCGGTTGAGACTACCAACTTATGAACCAGGCCTGCACAGATGTCTGATAGGTGACATTTTGAGGTCAAGAGGCTAAAAACTCCACCCGCAGATCATGCTCACACCGCCATTTTGTGAGCATGGGTCCTGTGAAGAGGCGTGGAGTCTGACTACGCTTGCACAGATCATCAATTGCCTCACCTCTCCTCCCCTCCAATCACCTCTCTCCACACTTCAGACCACCTTGCCCCCATCCCATAAACATCCCTGAATCCCTATTTTTGGGGAAGCAGATTTGAGGCTCATGTTTTCGCTTCCTACATGGCTGCCTTGTCATTGAACTCTCTTTCTGCTGCAAATTCGTCATCTCAGTGTTGGGCTTTCCAGGTGGCAGCAACAATGAACCTGGTGCGGCAACAGAAACACGCAGGACTCGTTACAAGCAGCAGTCCCAAAGCCAGGACTTAGGGAGGAACACCTGCATTTTCTCTGCAAATCTCACGCTCTGTTTAGAAAACATTAAGATTCTTCTTGCAAAATTGTATTGTTGTGGAGTTTGGGACAAAAATATACTTCTCTTTACTCAGTGGATATTTCTCTGGCAAGTGTGTGTGACTTGAATTTTAGATTTTCAATATTCAGACCTTTAATGAAGGACTCAAAAGCCTAACCTTCAGAAGTAAAATATCCTTTGGAAACATATTTAATGAACTCGTCTGTCTCGTAATTGGAGATATTGGAGTTTGTACTTTCCTATCATGGGAAGTGGAGGTGCTATGAGGAGCAGAATGAACAGGAGACTAAAGCTGGCACTATGGTGGGAGGTGTGTTTGCTGTGGCCTAAGTTTCCCAGAACCAAGTGACTCACACCTCACACTCAGCTCCCTTCCCTGTGACTGAGGATCAAGTTATGAAGGGAAAGGAATCTTATGTTAGATGATATTTTATGATAACTCTCTTCCTTAAGGCAACTTTCCTCACCCCCCACTAGGAGGTTTCCAAAGGCCTGGTCAAGACTCGGGCAAAGGTCAGCATATCCTAAAGCCTTGCTGGTCAACAGAAAATGAGAACTAGAGAGTTTCAATGAATTGCCAAATGTCACACACGTATGCTCCTGATTCACACTCACTGTCCAGCACCTGTGTCTACCCTCGACAACAACCCAGGAAATAGCTTCTAATGTCCCATTTTAAAGATGAGGAAACTGGAGTTCACAGACACACAGCAGCTTCCCTGGGCTAAAGCATTTGTCCTCGGATGTCAGGCCACCTGATTTCAGGGTTCACTCCCCAGGTGAGACTCAGGCTGTGTCTAGGCTTCTCTCTGAGACTCCTGTTTGGTTTTCCCATTCGGAATCCATCACCAACTAGTGGCTGAGGGGAGGGAGAGAGGGAAACACGGAATTCGTGACTTCCTCTCTGTCAGCTGATTTTAGGGGTCTGATAAGAATAAACATGGATAAACGCATGCCTTGCTTTACTTTGCCTTCCCAAAACTCTACTGTGAGTAAGCTCAGGAGCAGCGTAACTACATTTAACCTTAATAGGGGAGAGGGCTTATGTTCCTCAAATGCATGTGTGCATGATAATTCCAGGAGTAAAGTAAAGGAGTGACGTTGGGGATGGTCCTAATTACAGAGTTTCAGATGCTCAGCTGAGTGGGTCTCTCAGGGGTCCTGTTGTGTTGTGTGGGTATCCTTCATTGATCAACGAATACCCATTTACTTGTAGTTCGAAGGAGGAGAGATAAAGGGAACAGCTCACTCTGCTGGTTTCACAAAGAAGTGGATATGAATCGCAGATCCACCACCTACATTGTGCAAGTTCCTCTAGAAAACTGAATATCCGCAAACTGTAAAATGAGAGTAATAAAGACTGCACCCTGGGGCTGGCCGGATGGCACAGCGGTTAAATTTGCACGCTCTGCTTCGGCAGCCCGGGACTCGCTGGTTCGGGTCCCGGGTGCAGACACGGCACAGTTTGGAAAGCCATGCTGCGGTAGCCATCCCACATATAAAGTAGAGGAAGATGGGCATGGATGTTAGCTCAGGGCCAGTATTCCTCAAAAGAAAAAGAAAAGACTGCACCTCAGGTGACTTTTGTAGGATTAAATGAAGGTAAATTTTGGATCTTGTCCATTGTATGACAGAGATTGAGCAAATGTTAGTTCTACTCCATGTACTGTAAAGTGAATGCAGTAACATCATTTTTCTAGATTATATAATGCATCAAGTAGAGGTAGAATCTAGAATTCCAAAAAAAAAAGAAAAGAGAAGAATAAGGAAGGAATCAGCATCCTGCTTCTGTGGAAAGAATTAGGATCTTTTGAGCTAGGGCTAAGTGAGTCTGAGCCCTAATTCCAGCTCTGGAACAAATGTAGCCTTAACTTTGCTCCTTCTGCCTCCTCGCCATCAGGGAAGTCCTCTGGTTCAAGGCCCTCACAGGCTCCCAGTGCCTGTGTCTGTGGGGTTCCAGCCCTGCCCTCCCTTTAGTCCCGGGCTGGATTTCCACGTCCATCACTACCTGAGTGTGACTGTGGGCGTGTCGTTTAACCACTGAACATCGGTTCCATTAGCTGACCAATGGAGATGATGACAACTATTGCATGGGGCTGCTAGGTGATTAAAGATATAATGTAGCCAAAGGGGTCAGCACTCAGTCAGGATCGTTAGGAGGAGATTTTCAATAAATATTATTTCTCTAATCTGTCCCCCTCCCTGGACACCCACTCACAAATCCTTTCCACAGACTCTCACTTGTTAGACCTCCAAGATGGCCAGATTTCACCCAGTGCAGACTGCAGAGTGTTTGGTGCAATTTCCAGGGCTCTGCTCCTGAAGGTGAGAATTTGGGTGACGTAAGACAAACGAGTTACCTGAGATATTAAAACCGCATAACTAGAGGCACTTCCCAGTCCCTTCCCTCTGTGACATCCCCCTCCCCAATGACCAGGATCATCCACAGAGGTGGAAACAGGGTGGAGGTGAATTGAAACCTCAAGAATGAGCTGTTACCTGCTGTCCCCCACGCTCTTTCCTCAATGGCTCTAACCTAACTTTCCAGTTGCCCTGATCACACTCTTCTGTATGCCCTGCCAGGTCAGAAATCTTCCTTTTGCTTATTATGTCCAGACAGG